TGAAACAAGATGGAAAAATAAAAATATCAGGAAAGAACTGAAAGGCAGAATTTACAAAATAGTCATAAGACCAATAATGACATAGGCGGCACAAAAACGACCTGACACAGTGAGAACAAAAATTATGTAAGAAACAGCAGAGATGAAAATACTTAGAAACCTTGATAGTAAAACACTATCGGACAGATCTTGAAGTACAGATATATGGCGTAGGCGTAAGGTGGAAAACATCAAAAATGGGAAAGAAATACATGAATCAAATGAATCGATTATATAAGCCGAATGACAACAAATAGAGTAGTAAACACGGCAAGAAGACCACGAAAACGATGGAACGACAAATTACTGAAGACACATTGAAAAACAAAGTTATGAATACATGAAGAAAAATAAATTAAAGAACGCATCGCGACAGGCGTTTTATAAGTGCCTTTATTTAAATTGACACTTTTATACAATGCCTTTAATGCCGCTGAAGCTTCGATAGTAAATTATTCTGCTAGACTGCAGAAATATATCGACTTGTGAATACATTAGTTGTTGCCATGGAGTACCTCGATGATGAAATATTTATCGACAAAATTAAAGAACCCCCATCTATGGGACATTCATCATCAAATGATTCCAAAAACCATTGTCTTAATTCTTCATATAGTCTAGATGCTTTTGAGAATTCTTGAACTATTTATTGGGTAAACAATTATATATTTTTATATTAAGTATATAACATACGGATCCATTTTCATTACTTATTGACACATATCCTTATTGACTCTATATCTATATTCTGGGGACCGTAAGAAAGCATTTTAAAAGATATTATCCACTTACTGTACGCAAGTAAGATACCTATAGGAATAATCAAAACAATCAAAAACATATTGCAGAACAACATAATAAAAGTATAAAAACGTATAAAACAACGAGCTCTATCAACTGTATAAGGAAACACCCCTGTCAAACTTCATTAGAATCCAAAGATTGCAATGGGCCGGACATGTGATACGAATGGGAGAGGATAGGCTACCAAAACGAGCACTGAACGCCAGAATGCAGGGAAAGAGACCAGTTGGAAAGCCAAGAAAGCGCTGGGAAGACACAGTAAGCAGCGACGCACAAGCACTTTTAGGAGTCCGTGTATGGAGAAGAGCAGCCACAGACAGACAAGGGTGGAGGCAAAAAATAAAGGAGGCCAAGGCTCATTTTGGGCTGTGGTGCCGTAGAAGAAGAAGAAGAATAATAAAAGTAAAAGTAGAAGAAGAACTAACCGGTTCTATTGAAGCTAGTAATAGGATAAGTCAGGGCTATTTTTTGAGTTCTCTATTGTTTAACCTGATTATGGATAAAATAATAAAAAAATTAAGAACCAAAAAAATATACCAAATGGGGGAATAACAACCTAAAATAATCTGCTGTTCAGATGACGCAATACTACTTTCTCAAAGTGAAGATGATTTACAACGAATGCTGTACCAATTTAATAAAACCGCCAGAATATTTAACATGTTAATTTTCCCAAAAAAGACAAAATGCATGCTTATAACAGCAAATTTACTAAGATGTAAATTGGAGCTGTAAGGTCATACAATAGAACAAGTGATGAAGTTTAAAAAGCGCAAAAAGCGGAAAGCTCGAAACGGAAGTGAAAGATTAAGTGAATAGAGCAAACAGATAAACAGGCTGCCTGAATGAAACAGTATGGTAAAATAAAAATAGAATTTAAAAAACACTCATTAGACCAATAATGACGCGGAAGAAACAAAATCTGACACAGAGGGGACACAAAGGAATCAGCAGAAGAGTAGAATGAAGCGATCATAAGCCGAATGACAACAAATAGAGTAGTAAAGACCGCAAGAGACAGTTCCCCAATAGGAAGACGATCAGTAGGAAGACCACGAAAACAATGGAACGACAACATGCTGGAGGCATATTGAAAGACAGAGTCATGTCCATATATAAAAAAAAAAAAGAAGATTTCATTCTTGCCCTACATGGTGGTTACGGATTTTTTTTAAAAAATTTTATCTGAAAGCTACATGCTACAAAAAAAGTTCTATTTTGTGTCAGCCACGTGACAGCCGACGAAAAACGCGTGCATAAAAGTGGCCCCAGGGCTGTAGCTTTATAATAATGATATTGTCAAAAAAACTAAAGACTTATCATAATGGGTATGTGAAGAAAAAGGTATTTTTAAGCCATACGTTAGAAACTGCTTTTATTCCTATTTCATTTCTTCATAATTCCCAATTTGAAATTCTGGAACCCTGTTTTAGCTTGTAAAAATCTAATGAACTGGTACCTTATGTATTTGGCGCCACCTGAAAATTTCCGAAAAAGATTTGCCACCTGCTATAGTGACTGTGACTCATGTAATATGCCTCTCTAAAACAGCTCCATTGTATACAAGCATACTTGACTAACGTATATTCTATTGACATGCCTATTATAATTACTGATTTTTTTTCTCAGAACTTCCTTGCTACTAGTGTATGTTCGATCAATATAAATTTCTGACAGTTACCTTATATTTTCTAATCTAAACATCTCCCTAAGCAGCTCGGTTTTTGTTTTAAAATGTTTTTTTTTTCTGGATTCGTACTCTACAGACAACTGTTTCAAGACTTAATTTTGCTAAATTTGCCAACTAATTTTGATACCCCTAACTATTTCATTGTTCTATACATTTCTCTTTGATTTAAAAGCCAGAGATTTTCTTTTGGACTATAAATAAGTATTACGTATATATGCCAGATTTCAGTGTTTTTTTTTTAATTATTCTTATGGTTACAGTCTGATAAATATCGATTTATCACCTCCGACACTAGCACATAGAGTTTATGACAGTTAATTTTACAAATAAAAAAAAATAAGATGTTAGTATATATACATATTTTTATGTAATTAAAACTTTGTTTTCACATCTACTGAACAAATTCACAAAATATATTGGATGTTCCAATTAATTTAAGCGTTTAGAGCACTAAATTACGTATTAATTTTATTATAATTTTGGAGTCAGAAATATAAAATTTGTCTTGCCAATTAAATGAAAAATTTAGTTTTCAAATTATTCATGTAATACAATTTAAACACTTTAAATAAGTAATTAATATTCATGTGTATTCTAATGCTTCGTCTGACCGAGTGTTATGCTGCAAATAACATTTGGATTCCAAAAAATTGCAATAGTGTCAATAAAGAGATATCAATATTTGTGTTATTAAACGCGAAAATTATTTCCTAAGGCAGTTCCATTTTACAGCAAACACCATGCGATGTGCGGTTTTTTGCATTACAAAATACGCTTCTCTATTTTTATAATGGTAAAAAACAAAGCAAAGCAGTGTGAAATATAACACATATGAATATTGATGAAATGAAAATATTTGCAAAACTGTCATCGCCCAGAAGTAATTGTGATGTGTGATATTAATCGAATATCATATTTAGATTTTAACATCATTTGTTTTCCGAATGCAGATCAAATTGATTTCTGTTGCAAATGTTGATAGCCTTTGCAAAAATTATAAAAACCCATTTATATGAGGATTACGCACTGCTCATGCAGATACGAATGAGAGAACTTGTTTTTTAAAACAAATATAATACTCTAAAATCCTCTGACACATTACACGTATTTTTAACATTTTTTGTTTCGTAGCACGCAATTAACTTTTTTTACAAACAACTAGTTGCAGTAATGGTTTTTTTTTTATATTTTAATGTAGTAACATTTAGCAGATATCCGATAATAACAAATATTTATAAAAGTGACAGAAAAAGTTGCATATTTATGTTTTCGTTTCAAAACAACTACAACAACTAATAATTATTTTGAGCAGTGTATTGTTAGATAAAAGTAAATGGTTGTCAGTTAAAACATATGTAACTAGTTTAAAAGATTGGCAACAGAGACTTATATCACAAATGAATGAATTAATTCAAATAAATGACACATTTTTTGTCAAACCATCAGCAAGAGTAAAATTTCAGATGCATCTACATATTACAATTATCAATAATATATTTTTAAATGGTACAAATCAGTATTAAAAAAAAACAATAATCCTTCTCGTAATCATATATCACTAACCAAAAAATTGATATATTCGCTCCGTGCGTGACTAATGCGACTGATTTCAGGTTAAACATATGACATAATGTTTGATATTGTTAAATACATGCGAAATTGACACTTATTAATAAATTAGTTTTTTAACTATATTTTTTCAGTTTATGTACAAACTAAATGTAGTATTAAAAACTTGGTTTCTCAAAATTCATCATAATATATCTTTTCAACTCCAAACGGACAAGAAAGTGAAAAATCTAGTACTGGCAAATCAAGTTTTTCACGCAAAAGAGCATAATAATTAAAAACAATAATAGTAGAAGTTATGATATAAAAGCTAAAGTCATCTGCAGTTAGCTTGAAGCCTTATGAAATATCATTCAAGGTAAATTATTTAAATTTGTCCTATTTCAATTGCATAAAAATGAAATTATGTGATTACTTTTTCATATTAATAGCACGAATTCATCTTTTTCTTTTCTCTAATTTATAAGTAATCTTTGGGAACCTATAAAAACTACACTCACTGTTTTTGCTATTATTAGCACAATTAAATATGCAACAAACATATTTGCACACATTTTTGATAAAATTTATGCGTAAAAATATTTTGTCCAATATTCCAATTTTGTCATATTTCGCCGCTACGCACGCTGGCATCGTTTCAATGTATCCCTACCATGGTCACGCACGGAGCGAATACAGATAGTTCAAGACGATTGTTCCTGGCCGTTGTTTTCTTGTGATTTCATAACATCTGGTAGATCTGGAGGGCTGAATATGGTATTACGTCAAGTGGTTCAAAATCGCCTTTAACATCTCTTATAGCAAGTCCAACTGTAGCAGGGCTCTGGGCTTTGGCAGTTGTAGAAGTGAGACCATAATATGATAATAGATAATAGTATTTAATAAAGATAATACAATTATGGAACACTCAATGCTATTATCAGATTATGATCTCACTTCTACAACTGCCAAAGCCCAGAGCCCTGTTACAGTTGGACTTGCTGTAAGAGATGTTAAAGGCGATTTTGAACCACTTGACATAATAGCATATTCAGCCCCTCTAGATCTACCAGATGTTATGAAATCACAAGAAAACAACGACCAGGAACAATCGTCTTGAACTATCTGTATATAACCTCATTTTTTTACTTTGTTTTCTTTTCACACATCGAATGATCAATATTAATTTTCCTTTCGTCTTATCCAATGTTGAAACGTTAAAATTTTTAAATTGGAGATTATTATAACCCCCTCTGTGGCTCAGTGGTAAGAGCGCCTGCCTTTAAACCTAAAGGTCGTGAGTTCGAATCCCACCTGGGTGGAAATTTTCGTTTATTTAAAAAATTAATAAATGAAAATAATTTCTATCCTTGTGTGATCGGTACACACCGGAGGGACCGCAGACGTTCGGATACAATTAGCGTCTCTTAGCAAAGACAATGACGTCGACTTTGCTAAGTATCAAGACACTTACTCTACACACACAAACACACACACACACACACACACACACACACACACACACTACATTAATAAACTTATCTTGATTGAGACTGGCTGAGTGACAATTGTCCAAGCCAAAAACACACAGAAAAAAAGATATTATTATTTTTATTGCTTTTGAAGTCATTCACATTGATTCGAGGTGTCAATATTAGTATTTGACTAGTTTTCAAAATATTATTTTTTCAAGTGCCCTTCAGGTAAGAAAATATGTGTATGTTATTTTGTACAATTTTTTGGTTAGTGATATATGATTACGAGACGGATTATTGTTTTTTTTTTGTAAAAAACTGATTTGTACCATTTAAAAAATATTATTGATAATTGTTATATGGAGATGCATCTGAAATTTTAATCTTGCTGATGGTTTGACAAACAATGTGTCATTTATTTAAATCAATTCATCCGTTTGTGATATAAGTCTCTTTTGCCAGTCTTTCAAACTAGTTACACATGTTTTTACTGCTTTACTTTTATTTAACAACTAATAATTAACTTAAAAAAATGAGTAAAGAAGCAAGAAAGCTCTTTTGGTAAATTTCTATCAATTACAGCAATTATCAAAGGAAAAACCAACTTTGCAATACAAACAAAAGATACCATTGAAAATTTAAATTATGGAAGAGATATTATAGTTAAAGCAACATCTGTGATTAAATTTTGATTTACTATACTGTAAGTTGTTTACGCTATAAAAAATGTCGTGTGTGTTAAATAAGATATTTTACATCGGAAAATAAATAAAGAGTATGTCGTATGTATATGATACAATGTTTTAGGCGTTTCATATGGTTTTTTTTTATCGTATTTAAAGCTATCATTTATTTATTTAAGTCACAACATTATAAGTGTCAAAAAGATTTAAATTTAACTGATTTTATTTTCTTTTTTTATAATCACCTCTGCCGTCGAATGTAAACATCAGTGCAATAGAACAAATTATGGATTTTTGTCAGATTTGAATAACGTTTCTCCTTCTCGGTCTTCTGGTAAATATTTATAAATAAACGAGTGTGCTAAAAACTATTTAGACTACAGTTGTGATAACTACTTTTATCCTTGGTATGAAAATGCTACAAAAAACCACAGTCAGCCATTTCATTCACTACTGGCCTACTATCAACACTCTAAGCTAACACCGCGATTTCTTTATTTTCCGAATCAGCTCCGAAATGTTCTAGAAAACAAAACAGGTTGCTCGAAAGGATGTAAGTAACATCAGACGTCGACAGGTTGCATCTTGGATTAATAATACAAGAAATAGACTAAAAAATACAGGCAAATAATATAAAAGTCGTGATAATACAACCAGTTTGCGAAATCATTAAAACCGATGTGTTCAGGAAATTGTAGACAAAAATGTTCTTCAAAAAGTGAGTACCGATGGAAGAATTTCATTTTTAAAAATCTTGGAATTTAGGTTAGAGGGAAAAAGCAATGGGGTTTTGTAGCTTACTTAGTACTAAAACAAAACAAATCGAAAGGTTTTTACTGATACCGTATCAAGACGCAATTCTACTCTTATTTATAGACTTAAAGTGAAGAGAAATGATAGGGACGAATTTGTATCTATTTGTAAAAATTAAATCTGTTTTTAAATACTTTCTCTATAAGTGAACCGTTTGTCTACACTGCTTTGGAAAAACTAGACGTTACTTTTGGTTTGATATAAATAGATCAGAGATACTATCACAATCATCGTAAGGTGATAACTGAAAACGTTGTCAAAAGTGTTTGTGATCACATCAAGTCCATTTATCCTGTAGAATCTCATTACACACGAAATAGAAGTATTAATTTTTATTTGGATAGCGATTTGAATTTCCATTGCTTATTTGATTTATACAAGGAATTGTTTGACGAAAAGATATACTCCTCTATAGCTAATATTGAAAGGCAATATCGTGATATTGTTAACGAACATTTTAAATTGAGTTTATACGTTCCCAAAAAGAATCCAGTGGTTGCGTGGCTAAAAATTGTTTCTAGAGATGATGTATATTACACAAATGTCAAACTGAGGGAATATCGCGACAAGGACGGAAATAACCGCACAGAATTTAGAGACACCAATAATACAGAGATTAATGGATTTTTGGGCCTTTTGTTATTGACATCATGTCTTTAAGTCTAATCATGAAGGCATCAACGTTCTGTGTGATACTGATGGTTTGGGGGGAAAATATTTAGAATGGCATTCTCAGCATATAGATCTGCTGTACTGCTAATATGCCTACGATTTGATATACAAGGAGAAAGAGCGAATCGAGCTAAAACTGGTCCAGCTACCGCAATTTTTCACATTTTAAGGAGATTCAACCAAAATTCCCAAAATTCTTTTGTATTAGGTACTAATACTTCAGTCGATGGAATGCTACTCGGTTTTCGAGGGCAATGTAGGTTTAAAATGTATATATTGTGACGTCTTTTTATTGCTCTAATTTATTTGTCTTTATTCTAATTTATTGTCTATAATCTAATTTATTAAAACTCACGATAGCTAATTACTAATTTATTAAATAACTTTACAAATGTATTTATTTCACGTTTCGTTACATTTAAATATCGCGTTTACCGATCTTCTTATGACTGACTCAAATACAAAAATCTTTCATTTATATACACAACTGTTGTCATCTGGAACTTTCGGCAAACTTCCTGAATAATCTCGTATTTTGGTGAAGGCGCTCGACTCGTTTTTCAACCTCGAGACGTGGATGACTCACTAAAATTAGTGTCTAGAGATTTCTGTAAACAACTGGTAGCGAAGCTCAGGTATATTTTGACCTACAAATTACGAGAATCAATAAAAAAGAATTAGTCATAAAATATTTACAGTTCTATATGCCATAACATTTAAAATCGTAACATTGCCCCCCTCTTAAAAGATGGTTCCTCCTGGAACCTTGTCGGGACTGGAACTGGAACGACATGCTGATATCGGCAACTGGACCCTCTTTTACAACTTCCAGTTGTATAGAAATGACAAGGGACGGTTTTCTCTCCGCAGCAGTAACTATGCGGATTGCAACAGACTAACACCTGGACTTCGGTGTCTTTAAAGATTTCCTCCACCATGTTTCGTATAACCCTCCAATCTAATTGGCGGCACTCCAACTTTGGCATGGCTAACTTTTGCACGTCGGACTCTAGTACGTGCTCTCTCAACTGAAGTAAGGCTTCCCATACATCTCGGTAGGTAGGTTGGTCACGGGCAGTGTCTTTTGTTACCAGGTAGAAAAGGTAACGTGATGCATCTTGAAGTTTCAAGGTTTTACCAGGAGCTGGCACTTGGCATTGAAGTTCTGCAACTCGACCAAACTTCCTTCGAAAGACGGATGCCAACCCTGGTGCATCTTTGATACTGGCCGGGATGGTAAGGGCCAGTGAGTAGTCATCGGGAAGCGCGAGTAGATCTTGCCTTTCTTCAGTGGTAACACCATGTCTTGCTTTACCGGTACCTCCATAGGCACCCATGAATTCCTCAAACGTGAGGTCAGACACATCTTGGACTTGGTTTACTTCCACTTCTTCATCTACGTCGTGGTCACCCTCGAAAGACGCCAACCGGTTATGGTGTACTATCATCGGCTTTCCTCTCGGAAGCTTGCTTATTCGGTAAATAACATCATTGATCTTCTCCATAATGAGGTATGGACCTTCCAAAACTGCTGCAATTTGGGAGAACAACCTTTTCGCTTTTTGGGGTTATAAAGCCAGACTTTATCGTTCTTCTTAAAACACCCCTTTTCGGCTTGTGTATCGTACCGTTTCTTCATTCGGTCACTAGCGATTTGGAGATGGAAACGGACCAACTCGTGTACATCGTCCAATTTTCTTCGTAATTCGATCACATAATCTTCACCTGCTACATCTTCTCCAGGTCGACACCCAAACTCTAGATCACAAGGTAGTCGCATCTCGCGTCCGAATAGGACTCTGGCTGGTGTCTGGCCTGTTGATTCATTAACAGCAGATCTGTAGGCCATTGTGAAGAACGGAAGACATTGGTCCCAGTCTCGCTGATGATCGGATACCATCTTTGTCAAATACTTGCCAACTGTTCTATTCATTCGTTCTACCATACCATCCGATTGCGGATGATAAGCCGTAGTTCTTGTTTTCTTCATACCTAGTCTATCACATATTCCTTGGAATAAATCGCTTTCGAAGTTCCTGCCTTGGTCACTATGGATCTCCAAGGGCACTCCAAATCGGCTGATATATTCTTGGATCAACTTATCTGCAACGGTGGCGGCCTTCTGGTCTGGAAGTGCGTAAATCTCGACCCACTTAGTGAAGTAATCCATTACTACCAACATGTACTTGCCTCCATTATCACTTTCTGGAAATGGCCCAGCAATGTCCAAAGCTATTCTTTCAAACGGGCTTCCAACATTATATTGTCTCATAGGAGCTCTCCTTTTTCGATAAGGCCCGTTACTCGTAGCACAAATAGTACATTTCTTACACCATCACCATTCTTTTACATCGTCGGAACTGTTCATCCAATAAAACCGTTCCCGAATTCGCTGAAGGGTCTTTTTCACACCAAAATGCCCTCCTGATGGACTGTCGTGTAACTGACGAAGTACTTCGGCTATTCTGCTCTTTGGA